GACTATAATCAGCTGTTCTAAACTTCCTCATTGGAAGTCACGAAAAAGCGGTGGGTTTTTCGAGAAGTTGCTGATCGTGTAGTTACCAAAGAGTCTTTCGTCTTTGTGTAAGTGTTATTGAAGCGTTTGGCCTAGTAGATTGTATATCAGTATACCCTTCCAGGCTCTGAAGAATGCGATACTGCCGAAACGTCAGCTAGTGGTGTATTGTATTGTGTTTCTCTATGGAAGTAAATGTATGCNGAAACGGGCAGACCTTTGTGTATCCGTATAAAAGAACACCTAGATGGCAAACGAAAACTAAGACGAAGCACCCCACTAGGCACGCATAGGATACAAAAGCATAGCGGAGACGATTTTGAAGTGAAAGTCAATATCCTTGCACAGGAGTCCAAAACACCAGCGCGAAAACTTCTAGAGGCTATTTGGATCAATGCCAAAAACCCTACAATGAATAGCAGGGACGAATGCCCGGAGGTCATACGCGACCTGATCCCGTACGTTCGCATCGATTTTTGATGTGGGATGGTGCAGTCGTCAACCACATGCGACTATAATCAGCTGTTCTAAACTTCCTCATTGGAAGTCACGAAAAAGCGGTGGGTTTTTCGAGAAGTTGCTGATCGTGTAGTTACCAAAGAGTCTTTCGTCTTTGTGTAAGTGTTATTGAAGCGTTTGGCCTAGTAGATTGTATATCAGTATACCCTTCCAGGCTCTGAAGGTAATTAGGTAATCAGGTAATTACATGATCAACAACTTCTCGAAAAAACCCACCGCTTTTTGTGACTTCCAATAAGGAAGTTTAGAACAGCTGATTATAGTCGCATGTGGTTGATGGCTGCACCATCCCACATCAAAAATCGATGCGAACGTACGGGATCAGGTCGCGTATGACCTCCGGGCATTCATCCCTGCTATTCATTGTAGGTTTTTCGTCTTTTTGTAAGTTGAAGCGTTTGGCCTAGTAGATTGTATATCAGTATACCCTTCCAGGCTCTGAAGAAGGCGATACTGCCGAAACGTCAGCTAGCGTTGTATTGTATTGTGTTTTTATGGAAGTAAATGTATGCTGTTTAAAAACCTCGCGATTGCTGAACAAGAAAACGACACATTCTACTATCAGCATTAATCGGCATATCATTCGTAGGATTAGAGAACCATTTAACAGTGAGACGGCTGTTGAAAATGGCTTCTTGTAACCCTTGGGCTCCAAAGAATTACAGACACCTGATCAAATTTGTTTTTTACTGGCAAAAGATTTCGGTTCTGGTTATATTGATTAGAATATACTAGGAAGAGCTTGTTGAAGAGAAGCCCTCATAACAAACTGAATGTTTTCACCACAAGATTCAACTTATCACATAGTAGTGTCTTCTAAAATATATGTATTGTAAAAGTCTCGTATTAGTTTTATCCAATCCAGTAGTTATTTTATAGAACAGGAGAACAAGAACACTATTTGAAGTGGTTCAAATCACAGAACTTTCGTACTTTCGGTGAAAACTATCCAGAATTCTTCGAAGGAGGAGGCGATGCCGTCTTCTCGGACCCAAGAACACTTTGGGCCGGTTATGGACCACGATCTGCTAAAGGGGTCTGTTGAAATTTGCCCTTATTACAATGACATTTGCTACTTCTTCGGTGTTTTTCAAACCATTTGACCTGTTTTATTTAGGTATACGATAGAATCAAAGTGCTTGGAGACTTCGAGACGGTGATCTGTGAGCTGATCCATCCCAGCTTCTATCACTTGGATACCTGCTTCGCCCCAGTTGACGAAACCACCGCCCTTTGGTACCCACCGGCGTTCTCAGACAACGCTAAAAAGGAGGTCTGCTTTTAGTTTTTCAGAACATTAACACTAGGTAATCTGTACACCAGTTGTCGGCATTTTGACCAAACTGTGGATTTCAGCAACTGAATTTCAGAGTTTTTTTAAAAGCTGTACTGAACAGTGATTTGACTATTGATATTTTTGTAATGGAGAGTACCCTTCTCTTATACATTGAGTAAGAAGTGTTTTTGACTGAGTTTCGTAAAGTGTTAAGCAATCGGTACTTCTTCAGCCGACATTGTGGTCAGAATTTTTCATGAAGATATTGGCAGGGTACCGTGAGAAGTCGTATTGCTCGGAGGAATGGTCCCATTGAATAACTTTAGAATATGACAGTAACCAACGCTCTTTGCAGTGTTGATGGTGTATGCTTGATTCATTCAACTACGAAAACTAAATTGATCTAAATGACCACGATACGTTGTGGAATCCTAGATTGAAAATTCCAGAAATTCATGAACACGATTCATATCGTCCCAGAGGGGCAAGATATCTCGGATTCCTGAAGCCGTTTATTTAATGTGTTCTCCGGCCTTTACGTCCAAAATTAGTTTTGAATTAAACTTGCTCTATTTCCAGCACAACGCGTACCAAATTGTGCATGGATATATGCTTCTGCATCGCACCTCGTGTGTAGCGCAGTGGTCAGAAGCGCCCGGCAGTACCCATGGGATCGATCCCCGCGCCCAAGGTCCACCGAGCCTTCCATCCCTCCGGGGTCGGCAAATTGGTACCATTTTCCAGGAGGATAGAACTGGCTCGATAAATCGGTAGCCCACTGCAACTCATTGTAAAGGCTAGATGTGCATTCAGTCACCTTCAACGATGCTTATTGAAGTCGAATGCATGGTGCATCCCTCAGGGACCGATCAAAGTCTGGAACTTTATCCTTTGTTTCTGTTTCATTTCCAACATGTGAATTAATCGATTTCGTAAATTTTGTGTAGGCAACGGCGTTCATGGTAAACCAACTAATAAATACGTTTTAGTATGTTTCATGCCTTGAGGATGTTTCACTACAGATTATGCGACGAATGCCACATTCCATCGCCGTTTCCGACGAAGAGGCGAATGCGTTCGTCTGCAATGCCATCACCATCCGGAACACGGTCATCTCCCCCGTAGGAGTGAAGTCCGCCACTCGGAAAGCGCTCAAAGGCCGCCGAATGGCCGTTGTTGAGGTGGACATGAGCGAGTTCATGAAGAGTGGTGGTGCTTGCCAGTGCCTCGTTCTTCGATTGTGACCGCCTATCCAAATGAAGCGTTTTTCCTACCGCTATGTATTTTGAAGGTAACGGGCCCGATTATCCTTATATTGAATAAACAAAGATCTTTGTTAGTACTCTCGTACTTATAAAAAATGTATAAGCTAGCGAAAAATTGTGCAAACATTGAGCTGATACGTTTGTCGACGCATAGTCCATGACTGGATGTTTTACTAAATTGTCAACGATCACGAAGTTTTCTGCTGTCCTATAAATTTTTCATAAATTTTAGAAGTGGAATAAAGTTTACTCTCTTATGAGATGAATAAGTCTTCATCCACCAAATTCTCAGGTTTACACAGTTGCGCCGGAGCGGACTCACTATACTGCGATTTCTTTCTCCATTCAAGTGGACCAGCCTAGCACACAAAGTTTTGCGCAGAAGACTATTTGCTCTTCATGTCTGCGTTAGATGAATGGATAAATACGAAGTGGTACTGTAATGGAGAAAGACTGATATGCAAAATGGATAAGGATGTTGAGAAAGCTGTAAGTCGAAGCTATTGCTAGCGCTGTGAAGAAACCAATGCTCAACTTACTATGTTGAATTAGCAGAGATTGTGGTGTCCAGCCGTTGGTAAGGTCTGTGTTGACATTCCTACGGTGATTCTGACGAACATGGAAGTCCACTGTACTTTGATTGGCTCAGGGGTACAGGCAGTCTCATGGTGATGCTTATGACAGGAACGGATCATTTATTACCGCTTTGCGCCTTTGTTATGAAAAACTATTGCAGCTTCTTCTAGTGGATATTTGTTTACACAATTCATTTTACCGTGCAGCTCAGCTGCATAATGAATTTATATGAAAAACCAATAAAATTCGAAGTTTTAAGCAGTTTTTCAGTGAGTGTGACTACTGTTCAGTGCAATTTGTGTGGTATTGTGAGTTACAGGTGGTCGTCTACCGAGTATTCAATCTATGCACGACTGTAGCAATCTCGTCCGTTGATGGCGACTACAAGAAACGAAATCAAACAAAATTAATCGTATTTTATGCCGATTTGGGTTCCCCAAATCAATCCCGCTGATAGGTGATTGCTGATGGCAGAGATCGATAGAACTAGCTGAGAGACATGCGAAACGAAGGACCCGCATGGTGTGGTGGTGAACGCGTTACTTTTCAGAAAGGACAATAGCGCGTTCGATCCCCACCGCAGACACTTGCGGTCCGGAGTTTTGCAGATATCTCAGCACCATTGAAAAAAAATTAATGCCGAGTCAAGAGTAGGCCATTGCAGTGTCACTTGGAAGTTCTACTCATGTTGGCGTCCATAACGAAATTCATTGTAACGATCCTTAAAGCTTGTGATCTTCTCAACAGTTTCTGACAAGCTGTGGCAGTTTCTGTTCGTAGGTGATGTGAAGCCATACGCAAAGGATAAAGCCCTCGGCGTTGATCAATCCCTGAGGGAAGCTTCATTCATTCAGGAGTATTCGACTTCATTCACATCATTGGAAATTATTGAATGTATACCTGGCCCATACAATGTCACGCGGTGGCCTTCCAATGTCTCGTGTCAGTGCTACTATCTTCTCAAACAAGTCTGGTACCAATTTGCCAATCCCGGAGTGGTGAAAGGCTTGGCGGGCCAGGGGTGCAGGGATCCATCCCATGTGTATTTCAGGGCTTCTCCTAACACTGCGCTACACGCGCACCTCCAGCTTGAAAATCTCATTCTACAAGCATAGAAATGTTGATTCTATGATGCTGAATTGTTGTACTTCCAGCTATGTGGTACTCACAAGCTATGAAAATCTAGACATTCCAAATCATAAACGGATTCAACTACATCATTTTGCCAACGAAAAAATATGAGTTCCCAGTGTTTTCAACCGACAACGAATAAATCTCGCCATCATTAAATGACTTGCCATGTGCTTCTTGGCACGAGATTGTTTATCAAACAAACGCGTAGTTCCAGAGGCAATGAAGGCACGTGTGGAGCAAAGGTTAGAACTGCTTCGCAATGCGCGTAGGTATTCGGTTCATTCTCGGGCAGTGGGTTAACCGATCCTCCCATCCCTCTGGAGCATTCGGCAGAGTGGTAGCACATTTGTTTTAGGAACTAAAAGGATGGAGAATAAAGCTCTCGGCGTCGATCAAACTCTGAACGATGCCCCATGCATTCGACTTCATTAAGCGAGGTGATTGAATACATATCTGGCCTTTACAATGACTAGCGGTGGCCTACAGATGTATCGAGTGCTGCTATCCTCCCGGACAGGGTTGGTACCAAATTGCCCACCCCAGAGAGATGGAAAGGACCGGTGAGCCTGGTGCGCGGGCTAGAAACCAAGTGTGTTGCATGGCAGCTTTAACCATTGCGCCACATACGCCGACGCCATAAGAAACACTCATTTGATACACGTGCCGCCCTCCGAAAATCACAACATGCCAAAATGGGTTCTATCAATTCTGCAATGGTCGGTGAAGTCGAATGCGCGGCGCATCCCTAATGGACCAATCTACGAAGAACATTCTCTCTCTTTCTGGGCCCACAAAGGTGCTAAATCCTCTGAAACATTGTTACTGAAGAACAAATTTTGTATTGGAAGCTCCAATTCGCCTTATTAAGAAGAAAGTGAAGAATGAGTTGGTAGAACTACAATTTAACGATTCTCCCAACAATATCTTAGCAACCGATTTTCACTTTCATTGTCAAAACAATAATTATTTGGCGTAGGCTTCCACCATGTTGTACAAATTTTGCTAAAATCTACCCAAATATGAAGACAATTCCCCTTTAGTTCCACGATTTCTACAGTTGTACATGAAATTCCAGAACGTATTCCCAATGTTGCAGCTCTCAATCCATCGAGAACCCTGCTCGTTTTGGCCTGGGGTGCTACAATCGCACTGCTTTGGAGAAGTGATGGTGTAGCGCGTTTCTGTACCTGGTATTCCTCTTGGGAGTGCTTTTGCTGTACGTCGTTTTTGTTTTCACGACTTATGTTTCTCCCCGTAGAGTTTGGTGTTCGCCTATACGGAAAGCAATTCTCTGGTCCGACTTTCCATTAGCCTCGGCATTGATTGAATAATTCTTTCTGTTTCTGTTCAGCAAACTCCACTAGGCACGCATAGGACGCAGAGACATAGCAGAGAAGATTTTGAAGTAGGGGTTACGGTCCTCGCGCAAGAATCGAGAACACAAACGCGCAAAACCCTAGAGGCATTCTGGATTAGTTCCAAGAATCCGAAAATGAACCGCAGAGAGGGATGCCTCATTACCACGCGTGATATTGGGCAGTATATAAGCCTGTTATTTTGATGAGATAGGCACAATAAGATTCCGTGTGAACTCTGTGCGGTTGGTCTCCACGTGACATATATAGTGGAAGTCTCATAGAAAGCGGTGAGTGTGCAAAGACTCTGTGTTCAATGTGATTGAAATTTTGGTTCAGCATTTTCTCTGTTTGGTTATGGAGGTGTTTGGTCGTGTAGATTGTAGTCAACCTGACCTTTCCGGGCTCTGAGGAAGGCGAAATCCGCCGAAACGTCAGCTCGTACGTAAATAAAGAAATAAAATAACACCTCGTGTTTGCTGAACAGAAGTAGAAACAATTCTCTGAGTTCTCGATATCCTCGTTTATTGACGGACGTACATAAACTTGCTGTCAGTTTTTGTTCTGGCTTACATTTCGTGGTCCCCGCCCTCGTCAGCGCTACAGGAATCGATCCAGTGTCCACCACGGGTAGCGAGCCATCGATGCAGTCTTCTAGTTCTCGAGAGCCGTTCATTGCTACTACGAAGGCTTGCGGCTCGTCGGAGACAGGTGTTGTGCAGATGACTCGTAGTCACGCGGCATCTGGTGACCATCCATCGTAGTCGTTAACTGACTTCCATTTCGATAGAGGAGAACAGTGCTTTTTCCTATTGTGTTTCTCACAAGCATTCTTACTCGTCTTTGTATTCCAGTTCATTACATTATCTTTGCAATCTAGGCAATCTAGTGAGGAAACATACACCCGATCGAGACAGATACCAAAATTTGACGGCTTGTTTCTGACGACCGTGAACTTTTAACGTGTACTTTTTTGTGTAATCACTGAGATATTGACCGAGTTAAAGGGTAAAAGGATAAAGCTCTCGATGTTGATATATCTCTGAGAGATGCACCATGCATTCGACTTCATTAAGCATCGTTTGGAGGTAACTAAATGCATATCTGGCTTTTACAATGACTCGCGGTGGCCTACCGATGTATCGAGCCAGTGCTACTATCTTCCCAAACAAATCTGGTACCAATTTGCCGATCTCGGAGGGATGGAGGGCTTGGTGGGCCCGGAGCACGGGGATAGATCCAATGTGTATTGCAGAGCGCCTCCGACCACTACGCTACACGTGCCCATTATCACTACCGAACATAAAATGTTTCAGCTGAAATGTTTCCTCTTTAGAATATGAGTACAATGTTGATGGTTTAATACATAAAGAAGACAAGACTTCATCGCAAACTGTATGGCGCGAAAACTTCACCTCTCTTTGACCGCTCCAAGTCAACATATCTCTTTATGTGTTGAAGCTTATTAGTTGGAATAAGATCCGTCAGGATGCAGAGATCTTTGCCTGAATGATAGAAATTCTTTTTTTTAACCACAACGGAGTTCTGATTTCCTGCACCCCACCAAAAGTGTCTTTGTCACAAGCGGAGGATTTCGTTTAACAGAACATGATGGTGTTGCCAATGCACCGTTACTCCTTACGACCGACGTGCTTCCGTGGGAAATTTTAAAAGTTTGAATTTCAATTTTTTCGAAAGTCTTAATTCTGAACAAGCTTGGACTTTAGGGGATGTTTTAAACAAATAATAAATGCGGTTGGAGAGTTGAGCAGGACTCTTTCTGAAGGTCTGTGAAGTTCATACTCTTCTCCACTACTCTTCTAATGGAGAAATTGATGTCTTTGTGGAAAAACCAGCTTTGCCTCGACAGTGCTAATGGGGCGTGTAACACTCAAAACAATAAGGACGTTAACGAGTGTCTGTCATACGTCAACTTTTTTCTATATTTATAGTGAGATAAGTTGTAGATATAGTGTTATTCGACTTTGATGAAGACGAAGAGTCGAAGCCCTAGCCGAATAAATCTATTCATCAACTTCGAGTAAGCTCAACAATTTAGATGCGTGTTGATTATTTTCCTACCGAGGTTAGATGATGGACGGTTTGAAAAGCCAAAGTTTGTTTGCAACCAGCAGTTTGATAGATTTGGTTCACAATCCGTAACATCAGGCTGTAGAGCTAAAAATCTCTCGTATACTTGTGGGAGAATGGTATCATTTGAAGCTGTACTTGTTCTCTCTACCGTGTAGCGCAGAGGTCGTGGGTGCCCTGCAATGCGCATGGGATCGCTCCCCACGCCCTGGTCCACCAAACCCTCCATCCCTCAGGGTTCGGCAAATTGGTGCCAAACTTGTCTGGGAGGATACCAGCACTGGATCGATACATCGGTAGGTTAGTGCGAGTCATTGTGTAGGCGAGATATGCATTCAATCATCTCGAACGATGCTACGTATGGAGTCGAATACTGGGGCATCCCTCAGTGATTAATCAACTTTGAGAGCTTCATCCTTTTTTTGTTTTCTGTTTGCCCCAATCGTTTACTATTAATTGTATAACGTTACTTAGTCAATATAAAGAAAGAGTTAAATTGTTTCTCGTTAAACCGATGGGCGATAGCCAGTTTTGAATGAGATAAAGATTTTTGAAGCGTGCACCATTTGAGATACATTTACCGGCAGCATAGTTCCGAACACTGGTTAGTTCACTTCATGGGTGAATGAATCATCAATTCCTTTTCCTGCCGACATTGAACTCCTGTGTTTCCTGCTAATTTATCAGGAGCGATTCTTGGCTATCCACAGAAAGACATTGCAGCTTTAACTATTTGCTTCGTTTGCTGACGCTCTTCTTCAGTTCAGCGTTCAGTACACTTTCTGATCTGTTGAAATCCACGACGTTTATTACGGAAGTCAAGTGGTGTGAGTGTGCATTCAAGACGACTCGTCGTCGTAACTTGCAAACTCCAACATTCTTCCATCCATTCCTTTCTCTTACGGCTGTCACCCACAGAGGTTGCTGCGCTCGTGGGTGGATTTGACTGCAAGTTGAGCATTTGAAGTCTTCTTTCGTCACTGTAAATCGTCGAGAGAAAATTTGCTGTCTGCGATTCCGTCGTCGACGATTCCCCTGATAGCAGAGATTCCTGCGAATAACTGATAGACTGGTGGTATAACAGACTGCATCATATTCTGGACACACTCAAAAAGTGTTCAGTCGCATTTTTTTGTTAATGAACAAGTCTGTCTACTTGTGAACTCATCAATTCACAAATGACACAAGAAAAGGGTTTGGACCAGACTGGAGCTTCACTGACAAATTTTAGGTCCCCCTCAACTTCATTTTACGTTAAATGGCCCCTGTTTTATCATGATTATTAAGGAAATAAGGTCAACATGACTAACGAGGACAAAATTTATGGATATGAAATTTACCACTTTGTTGAACTTTTCCAAGAATATTTCTCCATTGGAGTGATTTCTGTGCACACTTCTTGCTTCAGTATAGCCAGTGCTGACTTTTTGAGATAAGGTTAGATTTATCCCACTTCCTACAGATTATCCTACGTCGTTACGCATGTGTAGACTGTTTGGTTATTTCGCTTTCTTCTGACTTGTCTAAAGGTCTTTACGTTGACGTACACCTATTCAAATGCACCCATACATCAATATTTTCCAGCAAAAAATGCGAGTGCCCAGAGGGGCCCCGGTGTCTCTTTGGTTTTCTGTCAGAAACAAACTGCCAGCAACTGTCAAAGTCACTCGGCCTTCGCTCGGTACCGTTGCAGTCGTCAGTACTGTGGTCCTGACAGGCGCTGGTATCTTTGCCGTAGCCCTCTATCCCATGATAGAAAACGACTACTACAAGAGTGCGCAAGCGGAGGAGCGGGCACTACTGCGAGGTACCAGGGAGGATCATGCCCATGGTCAACGTGTTTGGTCAGATCCGTTCCAAAGAAGATAGACTGACTTCTTTTCATGCAGTAGTCGTTTTTTGTTCTCAGATGTGTTAGTATATTCATCAGGTTGTTGTATGTTGTCTTACTTTTTACTTGTATATATTTGCAATCTAATGAAGTAAAATAAATGTTCTAGAACAAATGTCCGAAAGGAGCTTAGAACCTCATGACGAGGAAGAAAGTGGCGATCCACCAAACGTAACCCATCACGAGTATGAAGCTGTGCTGAGGAATGACTACAGATTAGATCATCTTCCTGACGACATAGAGGTTCATCTACTTAGAATCACAGCCATAGGTATTTTCGAAAAGCTTACCTTATTTGCACCTGCACTTTTCAGTCAATTGATCTAAGCCGTACTCGGGCAGACCATATCCCGGATTTGTCAAGGTTTAGCAGTTTGAAGGTTTGTGTTACCAACGCTCGTTGTTGGGAGTCATTACTTCTCGAAACGTGTTTTCAGGAGTTAGCTATGCGCACGAATTTGCTTAAATGTATGGGTCCAAATCTGCGATCTCTCGTCGGCCTTATTGAACTGGATCTTTACGAGAATCAGATTGAAGCTATCGAAAGCCTTGAGACGCTTGACAACCTCAGAAGACTTGACCTTAGTTTCAACAGGTAATCTCTTTCTCTAGTGATAACTCATTCGAGAGGACGTAGTAGTTTTATTGTATGCAGAATTCGAGAAATATCAGGACTTTCAACATTGGCAAAGCTGACACGTATATATCTTGTACACAATAAAATCACCGAAATCAAAGGACTGGACAGTTTGTTAGAATTGGAACTTCTTGAACTAGGAGATAACAGGTTCGTTGACGTCATTAGTCATTTCGTATTATCTAGCAATCTAGTCCCTCATAATTCCAGTTATGTCTACTTGTTCCAGAAGTTTTCAATCGGAAATGTTAACCTTTTATACCTCATTCGTTCTAATAGAGCGTAAAATTATCCTTGTAATAAACCACAATAAGCAGATGTGAAATTGGACGCTAAATTTTTGAATAAAATAGAGTGTCGATAAAGTATCTTAGTCTTAGATACCTGCTGATGCTTATGATAGACACCTTACACCTTAGACCTGGTAACTTAGATCTTTGTGGTTGGCTACTTGGATACTTGGACAGCCATCTATTACGAGTAGTGCAAGTCGCAATGCATTTTCCACTGGTTTCTTTGCCTTACTTCATCTCCATTTTTGCTTATTCGCTCCACGTAACATCTTCGAGTATAACGCCATGTTCTGTTTAATCCTTGTCAGCTAGAAATACAATTGCTTGAGGATCTGTATGGTGTGGTGTTGAACGCGGTAGACCCCGAAAAGGGTAATAGCGCGCTCGATCCGCACCGCAGACACCTGTGGTCCGGAATTTTGCAAATATTTCAGCGTTATTGTGGTTGTTTCACACATAATATCCTGCCGTGAAAAATTGTAGCAGGCAGTAAATAAAAAGTTAACATTCCTTTATTTTGCTTATAAACACGTTCGATCGCTTTGTGGCTTGTCGTTCTTGATGGCGCATGTTTTTCTTGGAGTCTATTCTAGTGTTCCCTTCGTATATCTGTTGATGGATATCCATCTCCTCGCTGGATAACCGGACCTTTTGTTTTGGTTTTGATATGTATTATCATCGATCACGATGGTGGGATAACTTTCAACGGTCTGGATTGCAGAGTCCGAGTAGATTTGTACGTACCGGTTATGTTTAAGAATGACAGCTCTAAGGTTGTTTGTGAGTAATCCGTTGAATTCTTTAACACTCTCACGACGGCGCCCAATCTCGGGTTTGTTATGGAGTGGACCAAGCTTAGTCTTCGGCGTTTATGGACTTGCTGGTTTTTTTTTCGAAATTAGTAATTTCTAGATAGCTAGAAGATCTTATGGGTTGTGAACAGGAATGGATTGTAGAAAAGGCTTTTCCCTATTGTTCTATGGGAATGAATGATGTTTATGGTGCTATTTACTGCGTGCCACTCTGGTCCGTTATGCAAACATTACTATTAGCATTTGGAAGTGTTTTGCAATTTGGGGGTCTCCATTTGAGTATTTTTTATGCCTGCACAATCCATACGATAACTGTCACTCGCTATTATAAAAAGTATACAGCTCTCGGCGTTGATCGATCCCTTAGGGATGCGCTATGCATTCGATTCCATTCGTAGTATCGTTAGAGGTGATTGAATGCATATATGGCCTTTACAGTGACTCGCAGTGGCCTACCGATGTATCAAGCCAGTGCTGCTATCCTCCCAAACAACTTTTGTACCAGTTTGCCGACCTCGGAGTGACGGAAGGTTTGGTAGGCTAGGGACGCAGTAATCGATGCCATGTGTCAGGGCGCCTTCAGCGATTCATTCATTCGTTCATTCGCTTTAGCAATTAGAATTGTAGTAGGCGATTAGCATCCAAATTCCTGGTCATTGAACTTATTCAGAAAACGGTTTTTTGTATATTTCTAAGTGCAGAGTAGAGCTTTTCCCAACCAACGCCTAACACAACATCTATGTTCTAGAAGCTACCACTTGCTCTGGAAGAAAGTGTAGAAAAATGATCTTATGTGTCAAGGTAAATCACGAGGAAGGAAATGAGACCTATAGGTCTCATACTGGCCATTCCCGTAAAAGCACTATGAGACGTATAGATAGCACTCGTCGCGAGAGTATTAATGCTTTGAGTGTCAACACATGTCTGCTCCCCATAGCGGAACGGTGGGACGACCGTGGATGGGCGCGAAGTTCTGGGTCTGACTACTTGTCGCTGGATTTTTAGAAATGAGAAGACAGCGTATACTGATTTTCTTCTGCATAGTTTCTCCATTGTGCTTCATATTCATGAAACACTTTCTTGAGACACATGTAAGATGTGGTCCCTACGGCCAAAGAACAGTCCAGTTCGATTTGGTTGTATCTGTAAAAGATGTTCTTCATGAACCTGGTTTTATTCCTCGGATTATGAGCAGTCCAATCTTTCTGCCACTTCCTTGAACTTCGCTAGACTTCATCTCTGTTTCAACCGGTAGTCTTCAGATGTGACCATGCAGTAGTACCCTTAAAAACAGAATCCTTTTTCCCTACATTCCATACATATCAGAAAATCCTTTAATCTGTTTTTGTCGAAAAAAAAACGAGGTGCGCTTACCGAAGAATAGCTATCTGTACGACATTTTGCATAATGTTAGAGCTTGTCAGGATCTTCGTTTGCTGTATAGCAATGTGGGCGATTCCCTATAAGGAATGTTTGAGTATGTATTCGTTTTAGGTGATGCTTGGGGTGAAATGGCATTTAGTGGTTGGGTGGGTATTCCACTGAGAATTTGACCTTTGACCTTTGAATGGACAGGGTCTTATAAATTTCTAATTTAAATTGTTGTGCTTTCAACGCCAACTGTTTGGTGCCTTTCCTTTATCTCTCTGACTTCAACTACTGTTGTTGTATTGCCTATAAAGTTTATGATAGTGTGAGGTCTTGTGTCCTTTGTTATTTTCAGGATCACCAGTATCAAAAACATTTCTCATCTTGCGAAGCTGCGTGAGTTGTACATTGGCAAGAACAAAATCACCAGAATCGAAGGGCTGGAATCGTTGAAGGATCTCAGACTTCTAAGCATTCCGGTATGACAGTATCAAAAACATTTCTCATCTTGCGTTTTGAACCAATGAATATTTGGAAACAATTCACAGTTTTTATGACGTTTTACTCAATTTTAGTATTCGCTATTTACCGGAGATGTTGTAGGCAAATCGATTAACGAAGCTCGAGAATTTGGAAGCACTGACGAATCTGGAAGAGATCTATCTCAGCGATCAAGGAATCGAAGACGTTTCCCATCTTGCTCTTTTGGTCCGTATCTTTCTTCCATTTTTCGATATTAAATGAGGTCTTTGAAATTCGTAAAACGGTATCCTACGTTCAAATGTCCGAAGACTGATCAGTTTTAGAAGAAGTTGCGAATCATTGACATTTCAAATAACGAGGTGACTTCTCTTGATGGGATTTCGGAGCTGAAAGAGCTAACTGATCTTTGGGTACGCTGGTTTCTTTGTTCTTATATCTGTTTTTAATCAGTCCTGTTTCGACTAGCTGGTCACTAATGAAATGTCTCTTGAAGGCCAACGATAATCGCATCTCGAGTTGGGCTGAAATCGATAAACTCAGTGGATTGGACAAGTTGGATACCGTATACCTGGAGCGTAACCCCATATATGAAAGTGATCGTACTGCTTATCGTAGGAAAGTCATGCTGGCTTTACAGCAAGTGAAGCAAATCGACGCTACAATGTGTCGCTAAGTCATCCCTCTCTTAGGATCCATTCTTCAACCAATGCTTAGCTACTCAAAAGGTCGACTTTCTATGAACTTCGCTGTGAATAATCGATATATTTATTTACATATTCTTGTTGAGCTGATACGTAGTTGTTATAGCTGTCGTCGTCGTTGTCGTTGTTTTATTGTTGTTGTTCCAACAGCACGGTCCCACTCGCAACAGCAGTGCTCCGAGGAAGGCCAGATCGCCGAAACGTCAGCTATCGACCAACAACTGTGACAAGAGCGACAGCGAGAACAACAGCAACAACGACAACAACAACGGTAGCTAAACCAACCTTCCATCAGCTCAACATAATCAGTTCATAAGAGCATATAAATAAATATAATGCGTAGCTAGTCTTGTCATGTAACTCATCTAATTTTCACTTTTTCTTACACTCATTCTTTTTTTAGATCTTTTTGATCCACTAATAGGCCATGTGTAGAGATGTTCATGATGTTCATTGCGAAGTTTTGTACTTCATCACAGGAGCGTCCCGCCTATCGTCTTTGTGTTTAATATGTTTTTCTTGCAGTTGTAATATTTTAGCCTCTGTCTATTATTGTGTATAATAAAAAATCAATAGTAGTAACAACCAATCACACTTCGCAACGTCACCACCGTTGTCCCTCTACCATTTTCGGACTACGATGCTCCGACTGGACTGCGTGGATTTCGGGTCGGAGCATTGTATTGGCGAAACTGCCGTGTCATACCTGACTTCCTCGCATGGTGGCAAAGTCGTTAGTCGTTTGTGATTCTCTGAATTCGTCCTGGATTCTAATCTGTTGCGTCGATTTTAGATCAGCTTATGGGTAAGATGAACCTTGTTCTTATTTATCTCCTCGCCTCCGTTGTAAATGCTGGCCGTATTCTCGTCTTGCTTGAGAGCCTTGGTGCCAGGGAGACCCATTCGCTTTTCTTTCGCTCTCTTCAAGGTTTGTTTTCATGTTGCTGTAGCTGTACAGTGCAGGTGGACAGTGGCGATTTTCAGATAGAGGGCATCAGCTGGTGTTTCGAACTGCGGACGATCCATCGCTCAGTCTAATAAAGTTCGGTGAACTAAGTTACGATCACTTAATTGTATTCGCGCCATCTGTAGAGGGTTCGTGGTTGGCTCGATTTTCTTCGTTTATTGTGATCTACGCTTTAGGTAGTTTAGTTTTCCACGAATGTTGGCTTATCAGAAAAAGTGCGATGTACTAGGAAGAGCAATCTCAGTCGTCACCGTTGTTTTCTAGGGTTAGATGGACTAGAATTTCCCTAAGATTGCAGCAATCTCTGCAATTCTGCCTTCCTTATGCCGTATCAGAGGCTCATTTGTCATTAAAAGAATTCGACTTTTCCTCTATGTTTCTGGCGAGAGTTTATTCACGGCTGGATTGCCGGTCTCTTTAAAATCAGACCCAAGGTTTCTTTGTTAGAGATGGCTCATAGATCCGCAAGTACATAAATATACCCATGAATATGTCTTTATATGTACAGAAAGTACAAATTAGTATTGCGAAGGAAAAGTGGAGTCCATTCCTAGAATGTAGCTGTATCTCGGAGCGAGAGTCTCGTAACTTTTAGTTGACTTTTAACTCTTATTTGTTGGTTTGTGCTACCGAGTTCAGTGAAGGAGGTCCGTGGGATGTTCGAATTTGTTAGATAAGTGAAGATGCATTCACTGTATAAGGTTCCAAATCTCCATATTCCACAGAGTGGTAGTTTTATCGTACTATATGTTTATCGCCTGTGTCACCTGTCGTCCCTTTGATCGTCGAGTGACTCCAGCGGGCGCTAGCAGATCTTCTGTTTTTCCCTCTCGCGTGCAGAAGTATTCCAGTGGCTTCCGCTTGCTCTAGGTATTTGTTAAGCATCATGCCTTTGTTTAAGGGTGTTCATGAGGTACTCTGTATACAGTGATCGATTAAAATTATTCAAAAACTATTTAAAGAAACAATGGTTATTTTTGGTTAATGTGCTTTGTTTCTTAGAGTTCGGTGGCTCTATCACGGTTGACGAGATCACTCGCTTCGTTGATGAGGGAGGCAACTTGTTAGTAGCAGGTGGGCCGAACCTTGGGCGGGCAGTGCGTGAATTGGCCGTGCAACATGGGTTTGAGTTCGATGAGCCTGATACTATGGTCATCGATCACCAAAACTACGATGCTCACCTTGTACGTCTTTATCAGTTCGATTTCTGATGATTCTCTTTTTCGGTAGTTTCGGTAGTGATGTTCTCTATAAAATAGAGACCTAAAAACAAGTTCACTTTTAGGTAGGATCTTTCTTTATTTCGTTAACTGGCTTTTCAGGATGATGGATATCATACTACTATCGTGGCCACAAATCAACAGTTGCTGAACTCCAAAATAATCGTGGGAGAGGTTACAAAGTTGAACCCTATTCTGTACAAGGTTGTTAGAATTGGTTTAAGCTATTAAAGATAGATCAAACGTGTCTCTTCATGCACTTTAGGGTTCGGCGTTGATTTCACACAAGAAGAACCTTCTGGGTTTGGATATTTTGTGGGGCACTCCAACAAGTTATTCTTATAATCCGACAGCTGCAATAGATGAGTTAAGTGTAATTTCCTTTTAGGAAGACTTGTATTATTCCGGTTATTATGTCTAGATTTTGCAATATGTTGTCCAGTTTAATTTATTGTCTGTTGGTTGTTTTCACATTTTGCTACTCTAACTGTATACATTTCAGTATCCTGCTGCCATTGGGAAACAATTGTTGATGATTGGCGCACTGCAAGCGCGAAACAATGCTCGAGCGATCTTCACCGGCTCACTTGATATGTTTTCTGACGCCTTTTTCACTGCTTACGTCCATAAAGCTGGAAGTGATGAAAAGTACGTCCCTACTCGTTTGTTATTTCTTCTTGTTCCTTTATTGCATCTTAATAAAAGAGTATAAATGGATAAAGCTCTCGGCGTTGATCAATCCCTGAGGGATACGCCACGCATCCAGCTTCATTAAGTAACGTTGGAGGTGATTGAATGCATATCTGGCCTTTAATCGCGGTGCCCTGCCGATGTATAGAGCCAGTGCTGCTATCCTACCAGATAAGTCTGGTATTTAAGATCTGACGAATTTACCAACCCCGGAGGGATGGAGGGCTTGGTGGGACGTGGGCGCGGGGATCGATTCCACATGTTTTGCAGGGCGCTTCCGACCATTGCGCCACACGCGCCAAGATATAAGAATAGTGTATTTAAAGTTGACGTTTAATGTAACACGATTCGACCTACTACCCTATAGATCATTCCTGTGTAGTACTTTTAATAGTTGTATGAAAAATACGTAACGCTTAATTTCTATATCTCTGTTATTTTCCCATAATTCATATATTGTTTGCTTTGGAAATGGAGTTGTGTTATGTTTGTCTCATACCATATTCGATTCAGAGCCGTCCAGTCGGGAAATCTGGAATTAGTGACAGCGCTATCGAAGTGGGTACTTAAAGAGAATGGCGTGTTGCGAGTGAAAAAGGTGGAGCATCATCTTAGCGGAAAACACGAGATTCCTCGAGAATACACAATTATGGATGATGTGGTTAGCGATAATTTCTTTGTGGGGTCATCACAAATTTGTTCTTGTTGGCGATTTCTAGGAATATGCAATCGTAATCGAGGAGCTTAGTGATGGTAAGTGGCGTCCGTTTAGTGGGAAAGATGTGCAACTTGAGTTTGTTCGCATTGATCCTTTTGTGAGAATAACTCTCACCAATAAGGTTGGTTGCAACGTACGTTAAATAGTTCCTAAGCTGCAGTCTCTTGTTTCAGAATGGTCATTTTTCGACTCGTTTTAAACTTCCGGATATTTATGGCGTTTATAAATTCCTAGTTGATTATCGCCGCGTGGGATATACACATCTGTATAATACCCAACAGGTTTGCCCCACGTCGTTGATGTTTCGTAGACTTCAGACTTCCCAGATTTTCGCCAAAGTTGTTCGCTGTTTAAGGTGTCTGTGCGGCCCTTACTGCACAATCAGTACGAGCGATTTGTACGATCGGCCTACCCATACTATGCGTCATCATTTTCCATGATGGTGGGAGTAGTGCTATTCTCGCTCGTTTTTCTCCATTTCAAGGAACCTGCCAAGGAAGTTCCTACGACAAAGAAGACGAACTAGTGTCTACAGTATTGTTACTTGTTTGTGTTTGTTTCCTAAATTGTGAACAGCAGCCTTTTTCCGTAGAGTTTGACAGTAAGTGATAAGTATTTGAAGTTATCCCTTTACGATTTCTGCCTCCTATATTTTTTGAGTTGTCTTTTTGAGCTTTTTTTTTCTTTTGTTATGACGGTCTTTATTGAAAACAGTTTTACGGGCAACTGCTAACCTGGATAGATATTTAATACAAAAGGAAACAAATGACAATATACATCTCCTTCGTAGTGGTTAAAAGTAGAACAGCTTTATGGAAACTTAAGGTGGCTGGTCAAAAACTTTATCCCGATCCTAAACATTGGAAATAAGTGACACGATATAGTTAATAGAAATTCAAAGAAAGATGAGGACAATGTAGTGGTTGAGATGCCATTCTATAATGCGGCTGACGTCCCAACGGTTTACCTCTTTATCTTGACTGAGAGGTGTTACTTGGTGTCGGACTACGATGAACAGCGGGGGGATTCATACTCCCAATAGGGTCTCCCAACCTGATAAGGAGTCCGCGGTTTCCATCAAGATGCCTAGTTGAGAGTAAACCAGTACTGATATCCACTATCATCATGGTATCAAGCTAGTCGCATGGTGGCAAATCTTCCTCTGATCCACAAAGGTGGTGATGACGACTCTGGGCAGATTTTGGCTAGACTGCGTTCGGGAGCTCAAGGAACCACAATGGCTAAGCCAGCAAAACTCCGAATAAATGGGAATTATGCTGGGGTCCGCATAACCAGTGAAGACGAGCCATCTAAGTATCCAAGTAAGTGAGTAATGCAGTTTGGATCATAGTTCGACCTCGCCAACATCCAGTAACATAAGTAAGACCAAAGTCCTTAACAGCCCAAACCACACTCAAGTCGTAAAGGAACAGTAAACAAGGAAGAGGTTCATCTGCAACCAGGACAATAGATAAATCCATGGTAGTACAATCATGTCAATACTGCCGAAATATCCCTTCCACTGTTTCCTATTCCAACTCCATTATTTTAACGGGATCAGGAAAAAAAGAACACCACCTGCGACTACGATTTAAAATCGACGCATTTTTGAGTTTCATAGCAGTGGCATGATTTTCATTGAGAGCTGAAAATGCATCTAGGTGTTAGCAGTGGTGGTAGTTATTGAAATCTTACCCACTGAGCAGTAAATTTGGTTAATCCATCTGTCAAGATGTGCTTGCTGAATACGAGGGTTATCGTTCGTCTCCACGCCAATCCTTTGTTAGTTTTTTCTTTAATCCAGATTTACGACTATGAGTGTCGTTCCCAGATCCAGTACTCTGACGTATAAAGTCTAATATGAAATGTACGCAGGATGTATATCAAAAATAGTTGCGGCAGTATGCTAGCAATTTAAGTCGTTTTTCGCATTAAGCGAAAGGCTTTCCCTACCTGATTGAATGGCACCTTTCCGAGTCTTCTTCGTCGCACCAAATGATCCCTACAGTTTGAATGACTTCCAGTTTATTGGAAACTGTAAAACTGTACCGTTTTCTCGCCTGTTCTCTGAGCATCTTCCTTGATAGACGATAATGATATTCGCAGAAGGAAAACTTGATAGGGATACGAGTTGTGGCGGTAAACAGTTTTGGCGACAAGTTATGTTAATTCAGTCCAATTTTTCGATGGAGATGACAGAGTAGTGACGGCACAGTAAAACCGCAACAGTGCAGTTGCTATAAAGATTTCCAGAACTCGTGTGTGAGTGGTGTCAAAAGAACAGATGCTTTGCTATCCACATGTTCGTTGATCCGATCTCATACCCTAATAATGGGCTAATAAAGCCTGCAAGGACAAGCGTATTAGTTCCGGACTAGAATGGGAGGATTAAAAAACAGCTTGATAAATCGCTAGCTCCACAAATTCTTGCATATGCCAAGTATGCATTCAGAAACCTCTACGATGTCTACCGGACGAATGAATACGCAGTTGTGAGGAGCGCTAAGCTCATTGCGTAACTAAAAAAGCCGTAACTCTGATCAGCAGAGCTGGTTATGGAATGTCATGTCTACAGAACGTCCTTAAATGCAACCTGTGAAAAATATGGATATTCTTCAACAACGCAGCGCTTCCAGATGTTTTTGCTTTAGAGATGGAGCTTAATAACAGTTCTTTAGGTAGACACAGTTAATCATGGCAGAGAACAATAAAACAGTGCCAAAATTAGTGCTAAAAAGAAACGAAGGAAAATTAACTATGCGACGGTAATGCTAATTCGGTGCTAAAAAGGAAACATGACAAGTTAAGGTATCCTGCGTGATTTTGAGAAAAGATGTACTGAGCATATGACTGTTTGGTATCTGCAAAGACCCGAACAAACATTTGTTCGTCTTCCGAACAACAAAATCATAAGAATACGGAAGTTGCCAAGAAGATACATAGAACAACTCGGGCTATTTCTACATTTGGGTCTAGTCGTTCACGAGGCAACCCTTATATGGAATGCCAGAAAATCGCCATAACCAATAGATCAATGTATTCTAACAAACTAGTAACTAACTGAAGCAACTCCTCAAGATAATAACTGAGACTGAAGTCTATTAAAACCTCGTATGACCATAAATCATGGTAAGGAGGCGACTTTGGTACCAGAGCTTACTTATTTTCAACTTCAACTCCTCGCGAAATATTGCTTTTTGAAGCTTCAACAAAAGCTGTTTAAGTCTATGAACATTGGAAGTAGTAAAGATACTATACCAGGTTTTTCGATTCTGGGTGTACCAGAAGTATCAATGAGACAAACGTGTCCGATCTTAAGACAATCCTAGAAGATGATAGAAAGTGACTATTGCTCTCTTTCCAATTCTTTATCAGTAAATTATTAGAATCAAGACTTTCCAAACATAGAAATCTCTCCAATCTTATCTTATAACCCTATTAAAACAACGTTCTAAAAGAAAAAAAACACTAACGGACCGAATGGCACTTGCAAAATTATCTTCCGACAGCGAATTTAATCATTAAGTTTGAAATTACGCAAGGACCAGACTTATTAGAACCTTAACTCCTTTAACTTAGAAAATTTTACACCCTTGCCTTATAATCCTAAAAAACTACACTCTAGAGAAAAGTGACTGGAAGCATCGTGTGAGCTTATCCTTCAACGACGATTTTATTCGTCGACTCAAAGTCATACATGAAGTCACTTGGTAGACACTGCAATGTTTTTTCTCTTTTTGGATAAATTAGTTTCCACAACTATATTTTAGTACCTCATCTATCACTTCATAATGCGGGAAAGTATCCGAAAGAAGCGATGACTCCAATGACATATGAGTATCGTAGCCACTCACTAAGGGATCACTGCCTATGTTCAAGTCCTCTTCATGAATTGCTGGCGTCAGTTCCACTTTCTTCTGCGGAGAATACTAAAGGGATCGTATATTAGAAAAGAATTTCAGACGAAAGCATTTACCACAGCAGTTCCCTATAAAGATAGTAAATATCTCTTCATAGCTGGGTTCAAAACCTGGTGTATCCATCTAGACAGCTGCTGACATAATCCTTCGTCTGTCATAAGCCGAAATCTCCCATTATTGCCGAGAATCTCTAGAATGAAAATGTATCAAAACGAATACACCACTGAGCGAGCATAATGAACAACGGTAGAATAGAATAGGTCATTAAATTCAACACTTCATAAATGAAAAACAAGATCATTAAATGATTCCAACATGAACTTTAAATACGCAGTAATGATAGCCTATGGAACAAATAAACACAAAAGACAATTGTACCCAGCTGTAAGAAACGAAAGTTAAACTAGGATGAATTGGATACTTCGATGGACCGCCTTTACTGATTGCGCGAGTCCCAGCATAAATTCCATTTTTTGGGAGTTTTGCTGTTTCACTTACTGTGGCTCCCTGGAGACCCGATGTCATCCTAGTCAAAGTCTGCCCAAGGTCGTCACCACCACAGGCAGTCACCGCCCTTGTGGATCAGAGGGAGATTTACCACCACGCGACTTTGATACCAAGGATGGTGGTTGACCCTAGTATTGCTTTAATCTTAGCTGGGCTTCCTAATGTAAATGTCGGACTCCTTCTCAGCTAGGCAGACCTTGCTGAGGAGATGAATCCTTTCGCTGTACATGTACATGCAACCCGACACCCAGGAACACGTTTCAGCCACAATGAGACGGTAAACCGTTGGGAGGAGGATGAACTGAGCACACAACAAAAGAAATTTACCTCTAATACGAGGCATGTGCCATAAATCTATTTGCAGCGACCCCTCTTCGACTTCTCGCATTACCTTTGCTACACGACACCACTGGAAGAATACCATTGCAATGAATGAACAGAGAATAAGGATTACTTAATAAAGCAATAAGTCGTCTCTCCTAAAACACCACAAAAAAATTCGAAAATATTTTAAACAGCATGACAGACCTTGTGACCAGCTTATGCTACGGAATAAATGTAACGAAATAAAGCTCAAAAAAGTTAACGAACTTCACTTCGCTCAAGATGGATTTTCGATGCATCGATTTCATGACCACTGTGGTGCAAACAAGCCTCGATTTTGAGCTCCGAAACTGTTGGATTCTGTTTCATCTGGAATGAAAAATTTCACTGCCACAGAACGCTGTGCTCCTGCTAAGTTGCTGAAAAAAGAAGACCGTTCACCTTCAAGTAGGCCATACAATTCTTCCCGCACTTTATAGATGGACGTGTAGGTTTCCGAGACTTCTTGTTTGGGCGTTCTTTCTGCCCTCCACTTCTCGAACATGTAAGATAGTGAACCTGTAACTTCTAACATAGTCTATTTAGTCCGTAACAACCTTCAACTCATCATGGTAGTGGCGCTTTCAACTTTACCCCTAACGATTAGAAGAAAAAGGAACACTATCGACATGGCTATGCAAATCCTTAAAGAGCGAGAACAACCTGTAAACCCTGTCCCCACTTTTTAGAACCAGATGACACCACAAATTCGACCGCATGTGTTTCGCGAAGTTGTTCTAACCAAATCTTAAAAAAAATCGTTGGAAGACTTAGTGCCGACAAAAAAGAGATGACAATACGTAAGACGAAATGGCGCAGAGGAAACGCTCGTACCTGAAGACTTTCTCGATCGGAAAAAGTTTTGTAGATCAGCGGAGCGAGAATTCCATGGATCTGAGTCATGTGTCGTAAGAGCAGTGGTCGCGAATAAACCATTTCATCACATTCGCTGCACTTCACCTAATCGTAATCGCTTGATTGTACTGAAGTCAGTACAGAACGCCTTATCAGCTTGTCAATTAAACGGTGGCAGATTTCGTTTTCAGGACCAGTTCCGTCCCCACAAATCGTCTCCTAATACATATGAGAACAGTAAACCGCCAGTTGAACTTTGGATATGGGTGTAATCGTAGTAAATATAAGCTCATCTCGCAAATCCCACTCTTTTGCTTTCTATTTGAGAGAAATAAATACAACCAACTGCCACAGGAAAACAACACCACAGTAAACACAATTAGCTAGTGATTAATTCTTATCAGTAGACATTTTCTTCATAGAAGTGAGATCATACCTCTCCACATCAGGTAGGGGCTGGGTCATCAAAAGTTGGAAACAACTTTAAAACTTGTAACAATAAAAAGTTGCTCGTAGATTGATCATAAACCTACCCCCTTGGGTTTGAATGACCGAGGTATCCTTTGAGCCACAGGAAGAACAGCAGGACTGACAGAACGGTTTTCGTTGATAACCACATGATGCCCCAAAGAGAGCTGGTTTCTATTACGCCAGATGTAGTTCAATTCAGGACAGCTGGAATAATAAGCACAATTGTTAGAGCGATATTGAGTTCCCTTCTAATCTTGATGAACGACGTCAAAAACCTACAGAAACCGCTTCCCATCTACAGCAGACGAGTGATTGCTATAATACGTTTCACTTTCGGCGTTACAGAGAGGCCAAACAGCATCTAAAAACGCAGAAACTCTCGAGATATAATTAAATTAAGAAGGAGCCTCATCAACTGACGTGGGATAGAGGTGGCCCACTCACCATCGCTGCAAATAACTTCAGATTCATCGGCAGAACAATCTCTATCCATGGACACGCAAGGTACAGTTGGTATTACAATTTTCCACAAATTTGCAGGTAAGACTTTGCCTTCTCTTCAAGAAAAAAGATCGCCATTTCAACAATGTTGTATAAAACTGGCTATAAAAACCAGATTTCACTAACTATGACAGCAATGAAAACATAATCATTGAAAAAGGACAACTTAATAAAAGGTCTTTTAATAGAAAAAAAGCCAACATACATCTCAGACTTCGGAATCCGGAGCAGATATCGACCGTTTCGTTGTGTTTTTGCTATTGGAATCTTGGCGATGCCACTCCAACATGTGGTTTTCACTGACGATGTTTTTTTAAGCTGACATGAAAAGTTATTTGCCAAGGATTAGAGAGGTAGGAGAACACCACCATGAAAAACAAATAATAGAAATCTATTCGCCAGAATGAATAAGTTCCCTACCAGTGGTGGAGAGGTTACACTCCTGTCGTCAAACGTGGGGTTCGAAACAGCAGGAGGCAAGATGGAACGCATAACGATTGAAACCTGGTTTCCACAAGTTGGTAATGTCGTCTAAAAACTTTTCCTGTAAAGAATAGATGGGCGCAATACACTATGACAAACTATCATCACACGGATAGCTTACGAAAGGAATTTGCTTCTTTATCCCTGTAGAACATCTTACCGCTTAACACTTTCGCGACGAAACTGATTTCTAGGCAGCGGGTGATAAATGGGCGACCAATAAAGTACTTGAGGAGTTCAGGATTTTATAGATCCATGAAAGGGACTCTGCTCTATCGAACTAGTCGCATACATAATTCTTCTACAGTGTCCTTCGAAATTTAATCACGTTTAGAAGCAAGATTTTCAGAAAAGTGAAAGCAAAATTTGCAAGTTCTAAAATTCCCGAAGCAAGCGTGACAATTGCAAATGTGAACGATACATACATTTGGTAATACCATCGTGGCCTGAGAGACAAAATCCCGTCTGTCCGTTTGCTTTCATGTTTAAATTTTGAGACTTGAAGCAAAAAAAAGGAGAAGTATATGTCGTGGGCTCTAGAACAACAGCATTTCGTCTAGGTAAAACAAGGGAACTTTTATCCTACACAGGAAGATTGGTGTTTTCTAATAGTTTTTACTAAAATTGATAAAATTCAAAACGAGATGACACGTGCTAGGCCAAAGGTGAAAGCGACCACTACTTTCGAGTCATATGACTCCTGTAGAGGTCACGCCGTCGCACAGGTGTTAGACGATCTAGCTAAATTGATTCACTATGTCTGGACTTTACGGAACAACGAAACTCGGGTAGATCAGGAAATCAGTGCTAACCGAGATCGAAGAACCAGTGTCACCCACGTTCATGGTCCGCATTACTTTCAGTCTTGGGACGTCGGTGCTGTGCTTGAAAGACTTATCGTTGGCACACGAGTCACGCATTACAGCGGAACTACGGGGCAGCGTCGACATCCCTGCGTCTCTGCAACCATCGAATTCTTATCCAAAAAAAAAATAAAAGGAAGGAAACCAGAGAACAAATCAGGGATGGGTCGCAAAGCCCCATTTGCAAGAAAAGTGATTTTTGCCGTATGGATTCGCTTGACAAAAGGCCAACGATCGCCGCTGCATTGGAGCAGAGAAACTTCATCACCGAGCCATTCACTTCACAGTTTCTTCAGAGGTTTTGATCTGGGGCTATCCGCGGGCTAAGCTGCTTTTGTGCCGTCCTCCCAGCTGAGTTCCATACTTTCTGTAGGAAAAACAGAATTTATGGCTACCTAATGCAAGCTTCATAGTGGTTCCCACTGGCCGTAATTAGAAAAATCCCTTTCCTAATCTCTGATATGGTTAAACATAGCAGTGACGTCATCTTTTACACAATTGTTGTTTAAAATGGTTGGAGGTTTGTTGTGCTGAAACTTTACCATATGAAAGTTTTTTTGTGATGCAATTCGAAAGGGCGCCTATAGCGCAGTGGTAGGAGGCGCCCTGCAACAGACACGGGAACATCCGTCCCCGCGCCTGTGGCTCAAGAAGCCCTCCACCCCTCCGGGGTCAGCGAATTGGTGCCAGACTTTTCTGGAAGGATACCAGCACTGGCTCGATACATCGGTAGGCCACCGGGAGTCATAGTAAAGGCCACATGTGCATTCAATCACCTCCAAGGGTGCTTAATGAAGTCGAATGCATGGCGCATCTCTCAGGGAGTGATCAACGCCTGCAGCTTTATCCTTATTTATTTTTCATTTCGCACAGAATTTACTACGTAATGTCAAAAGCATTAATATACGCGACTTTGGTTCGGTAAGGTCTACGTATTTAGAATGACGCTTGCCAATTCGCAGTTACCAAAGCGGAGGAAACCTGTGTTCGTCGTGGGCGATGAGAGCAACGACGAAATTATCCTAGGAGAGGCGGAGGAGTTTCCCAACATCCTGCCTCCACAGCAAACTCACGACGAACCGGATCTGGAGGAAACGCCTGAGGCGTTCTACACTCAGCGGAATCATCCGAAATTCTATACCCGCAATCTGGAAAGAGTCGTAAACAAGAGAAGTGAGTTTGTTTGTTGTTCGATTCGTCCATTCAAAACCAGGTAAACCCTGACGCCTCTCTACCGGAGTTCAGACGTGAGCGCTCATTATTCCATTTCTGCAGAGGCCTGGTCGAAGCCGTCGCCCGACCTCAGCGAGCTGTTCTTCGTGGCTGCCGCTCCGAAAAAGTTCGACGACCTTGCTGTTAATCCCAGACAACTCAATAAGGTACTTATCAGTGCTTCATTAGCAGATCTTTGTCTCCTTCGTTTTTCAGCTGAAAACCTTGCTATCTGTTGGTAGTACATATGGGAAGGTAATACTTGTAACTGGACCATCGGGCTCAGGTTTGACCATATTTTCTCGAGGTGTCGCTTGTGACCTAATAGATTCACGGGCGAGTACAGTAAGTCTGCCGTAGTCTCCGGCGACTTGTGACTTATTTCAAGAAGTCGAACAAATGCATTTTTCTCCTCCTTCAAGGGAAGACAGCGGCTATTGACGTGATTGCTAAGTCACTGAAACTTGATGTTCTGAAATGGGAACATTCCAAGAACCTTGAGTTTACGGAGTATGGAGGAGATCGTTACCTGAGAGAGGTTAGTGCTTTGCACCCAGTGAAATTCGCGCACAACTATGTGTTTCAGGAGAACGAAATGAACTCTTTGCTACGTTTCCTTCGAACTTCCACACTTCCTGTCCGTCGAAAGGGTCAAAAATCTGGAAGGAAGACGAAAGGGATGGTGTATCACATAGACGAATTGCCATTATCAGCGTATTCGTAGGTCTTGGACACTATTTTCTTTCAGTATTGCTTATTTTTTAAGGTTATCGGTTTCACATTTTCCTAACATCTATAGTCTTCAGAGATGTCAGTCAATTTCGACGAAGTATTTATCCATACCTGCTTGCAAATAAACACGTCGTCGTCTTTGACCTTACTTCCAGAGATTCCTCTTGGTTTTTTTCGCCAAAACGGTTATTTCCAAAGCATTTTATTAACGTAGGTTTTGTTTTTCCAATGCAAAATGATCTTAGCTTCGCTCCTTACTGATGCTTACTTTCAGACAATGAATATCACCGAGGTGGATTTCTATCCTGTTGCGGCCACATTTATGCGAAAATGCTTGAGACGAACCGTGGATCAAATGGGTTTTCGCAATAGGGTTAAGTATACTGCCTTCGTTGTGGTTTGGTTATAACTTCGTGGTGATGCCAAAATTATAAGTGTCTCTTCAGCTCTCCGCCCAGGATTACCGTGCCGTCGAGAAAATTGCCAACGGTCAGTCAGGCTTATCTTCTTTCAGTTAGTTCTGATTGCATGATATCCTTCTTTCTTAGTGTTGGTGTTTAAACTCCCTTTTTTCTTGTTTTTAAGGCGATATTCGCAGCGCAATCAATATAATTCAATGTTCTCTTGTCTGTAGCAAAGGAAACTTCCACATACCACCCATCTTTGAAGCTACATTCAATGATGAGGTGTGCATACCTAGCTTTTTTTGCCACAAACTTTTTGTTTCGATTATTTTTTGCTGTTATATGACCTCTCTTTCACGCTTACTCTGTGGATCCCGGCACTTCTTGCTTTCGATTCGTTTCCTCGCACCCATTATCCACGAAGGTCTTCCAACTTCTACGTGTAGTTCCACCTGTGCTTGAGGATTTTCATCTCATCTTGAGTATCGCGGAATGCTGGTCAAATCAATTCTCAATGCGGTCCTGAGAAAGCCGTGCTAGAGCGTTCCCACTGAGACTGCAGAGTAGACTTTTATCAGCAAAGTCCGGTACCAATTTCCCCACCCCGGAGAGGTGGGGTGCTTCGTGAACCGGGTGTGATATCCAACCAGCAGAGTGCTCTTGGTGATCGGCATCACTATCACTGTGCTATCTATCCCCTTTTCGATTTTTTGTTTATTTTTATTCATTGACGCTTTCTATTTCGAGTTGTCCAATGTTGTACAAGGACGTGATGGCTTTAGCTCGGTATTGGACTTTTAAGCAACAATTGTTCAACTTACAAAGGTAGGAAAAACCGGTGTACCTAGCATGTAAAGACTCTGTACTGAGTTTTTCATCATCATGCCATCATAGTTCAACGGATTTGTCAAGGAACACAGGATAGTGTACTTTATAAGAGTGGCAAGTTTCTGAATTTAGCTTGAGCGTTTTAGCTGTTTCATATGCTGGGTGCACTGTTGTATGCTAAACGGAGAAATGATAACCCAAGAATTTCTGGGATAGAAAGTACTGTGCGAGAGGAACTTCGACGTCCTCCTTCTACTAGAGAAATAAATGACATCCTCGATATGTCAAGAGCATCTGCAGATACGGTGAGTCAACTTTCTTTCAAGCGACTTCTTGAGATTGTACTAAAACTGTTGGTAATTTCCAGAGTACGGTCTTATAGAAGCAGAACTGATGTTTTTCTAATAAGAGAGCTTGGGCCTTTCCTAATACTCCAAATATATTCATGGTAATGTTTAAGGTTATGATGTTCTTGTATGAGCACGAGCCTAAATTTTCGGGTACAGTAAGCGCCACTCAGAAAGCCTTCGATGCCATGTCAGTAAGCGATGTCTTGTCAAATAATTGGGAAAGTCGCGTTCTTGGGCAAGATTACTCTTCCCAGGTGAATACTTGGTTTCCTTCAATGAGTCTGTTTCTGTTAACAAACGACCAAAAGCGTGTTGTGATGGTGTTCTGCTTAGATATGTTCCCGTGCTACTGTATTCTACAACTACGAAGCCAATAGTAAGTATCGACTCTTTTGCGATTTTACCATTAACCTATGTTCTAAGTTAAGGAATTGCTCGAGGATTTTACCACTACAGCCGGCCTAAATGGTGCCTGCTTGCTGACAAGTGTGCTGAACTAAAAAAAGAAATCACCGAAGTGATATCTCCGTCAACACTTTTTGGAACACGTTATGCAGAGATGTAATATGCCTTTTCACAGATCTTAATATACTTGCTGCAGTATGAGTGATCTATGACTCATATTTTGATGAAACTAATTAACTTTAGACCTGTGTAACCTCAGAGTGAATTTGCGAAGACGTACAGTTTTGGTAGGTCCGTTCCGCAACGCCTTAATTCTCCCTTTCCCATGAGCTCAATGTGTGCTTTGCAATCCTTAGCAGCAACACTTTCTTTATTGTACTATCTGCACACTAAACAATGAATCCCCGCTGAACTAGTGTATTCGCATCTGGAGCGCAGAAATTTGGACGCGTGTAGCGCAGTGGTCGGAGGCGCCCAGCAATACAAATGAGATCGATCCTTGCCCCCAAGGTCCACCAAGCCTTCCATCTCTCCGGGGTCGGCAAATTGGTACCAGACTGGTCTGAGAGGATAGCAACATTGACTCGATATATCGGTAGACCACCACGAGTCATTGGCCAGGTATATAGTCAATCGTCTCCAACGATGCCTAGTGAGGTCGGATGCATGGCGCATCCCCCAAAGGCGAGAGCTTAATCCTTCACAGTGCAGAGACATCTTGGCACTTTCTCATTTGTCATCAGTCTCTGTGTTTCTCTGTTCTTAGGAAAGGAACACAATCGCCATAGTGAAGCGAAAAGACGCTCATCAGTAATTTTGTTTGTAAATTGTAATGTGTAGGATGCAGCTTTTCACCGATCATGTCGGTTAGAGCTGCTGTGTTTGGGGAGCTACAGATTTATTGCAAACATAATGAGAAAGTCGCAAACGAAATTCATGGAGTTCAGTGCGCTTTACACCAAAAGTCTGCTTTAAATCATCCGTGTTCTGTTGTTCCCAGCTGCTCTGGTTTTCAAGAAACTGGCATTGCAGCGAATGTGTTAATGTTACTTTATCTCTATTTGCCTTTGAAAATTTGTAGTCATTGATTTAGCGATATTCCTTTCCTGTCCTTGATCCAGCCATCATTAACCGGAAGTCAATACCGACTAGTTACCTATCTTGCAAGACCTTGGACATTCTCATGGAGTACAGAAAGAGCATTGTGGGACCAACGAATTGCTACGGATCCATCATATCGTATGGCACAGTTGAGGTAAGGAGGTTTTTGTAAGGTGTTAATGTAGTTATGCGGTTACTTTGTTCATTTCTTTCCAAACTACTCTGTTAACTCTATGAATGTCGATGAAAATTAAGGCACGTTAGAAGGCAACTTAGGAAGTGAATGTTTTGAATTGTTTTAATGGTTTTAAAACGAAGCTGGTTTTTCTCTGAAATGTGGTGAATCATTTTTCGAGGTTAAAAAGTGGTAAGGAATGTACTAGATTTCCAGTATCGTTAAAGATTTTCATGGAGCGTGGGGAAATCCGTTCCAGGTGCTAATCAAGGTAGTGAGGAACAACCATACCATGAAGGACAATTTTCGAAATAGGGTTAGACTCACAGAGAAACCAAAAATGTGTGCGAATTTTCTTCCTCGACATCATTTCATGTCCAGTATTGGTTGTGTTAATGTTACAGAACGAAATTACAGTCGACTGATTCTTTATATTAAAAAATCTTCGACTGTTATAAACATCTGCCATGAAGGGTTTAGAAGAGTGGCCACGATGGTAAAGAAGATTAAAAACGTGTGGCTTCTTGTTGATATCTTCGATCTGGGACCTTTCTTTTGCCTGGGGCCGTGCAGGACAGTGGTTGGGGGTGCCGTGGAGTATGTGCTCGATAGTTCGGTCGCTCGTACCATTCAGCGCCCCACGCCCAGCAAGTTTTCCATTCATTCAGTCTGTGTTGATATCAAACTTCTTTTGTAGGAGAAAAACACCGACTAGATACACCAGTAGGCCACTGATGGTCATTCTGTGGACCAGAAATGCACTCAGTCGTATGTGCGTGAAATCGGGAGCTTGGCGCACTCTTGTATTGATGAATAACGCCGAACGTTTTATTCTGGAGACCAGAACGCAACGTAGACAAGATCGAATTATAGTCAGCGTAATCAGATACGCTTTTGAGGTGTTATTAGAACCATCCTACTTCACACATTTGAGAAGTCGGTTTTGAATTCTGGCCTACCTCAACAGTGAAAGTTCTGAGATGTTCCCGCAAATGCCGAGGTGTTGAAAAATAGATCAGTCGAATATGTCATTCATGCCAACAATAGCGACCGGTCAGAAACAGCCAGTGACTGTGTTCTACTGGTTGTCAAGCGCATTGTACAGCGATTACTGACCTAGTTGTTAGTTGTTCTCAAGAAGATCATTGGAAAAAATATGATGGATGCTCGTTTCTCTCGAGCAGAACGAAGTCATTGCCATTTTTGGCGCGCAACGGGAGCGAATATTTATTTAGTTGGCTGAAGAGGCAAATCCGGGCGGTTTACTTGACTCCTTGTGATTAGCACTCACTTTTCCCACCAACACCGGAAAACTGCCATTGCTTAGTCAAAACACAATTCTTATTTGTCATTTCTAAGATCTGCACTAAACATTCGAGACCTAGTCTTCAGCAGTATATATTTTCTTCTTTTGCACCACATTCTCTACTTCTCTGTGGTTATGGAGTGGGCAAAATATTCGCCGTTGTCATTTTATTCTGATGTCGTTGAAGTCTTTTCGTCATAAATATAGATAGCGATTAGTTCTTGCGAGAACATCAACTAGTGGCTATGACTCATCTTTTCTACGATTCCTGTGTCATTGCCGTTACTTACCTGGATGCTTGGATGACCCACGTTCACTGGTTGTGCGAGCCTCAGCATAATTTCCATTTTTTCGGAATTTTTCTTGTTCAGCTATTGTGGTTCTTTGGAGTTCTGAGGTCAGCCTGGCCAAAGTCTGCCCCAGGTCGTCACCACCACAGGCAGTTGCTGCCCTTGTGAATCAGAGGAAGATTCGCCACCATACGACTAGTTTGACACCAGAACGGTGATGGATCCTGGTATTGGTTTAATCTTAATTGGGCCTCCTAATGGAAACGCCCAACTCCTGTTCAGTTTAGGTGACCCTGTTAGGTGGATGAACCACCAGCTACACATCGCAGCCCGACACTCATGATGACCTCCCAGCCACGATGAGGCGCTAGACCGTTGAGAGGGTCAGTGGTATTACGGCTTTGATACATGCTTCGACCGTCATACCGTTGATAAGTTAGAGGCCTCTGATGTTCCAATTGTGCAGGAGGCGTTTGCTTTACGGGAATTAGATTACCGTTCAGTTTGACATTCCAATCCGAACTGATTCACAACAAATTCTTTCTCACTGATTCCCCTCATTGCCCATATTTGGCATGCATCACGTCGCACTTGACGGGAGAGCAGTGGTTTATAAAAATTCCATTTTTAAATATGCAGGATTCTGCTAGTCTTCACACCCCATCTTTTGGTGATTCGACTTTGGTTTTTTTATTCATTTTTCTACCGACGTATTAAGCACACCTGCTTTTGTCTAATCATTTGAAATTTAGTGGGAATAGGATAAATCTGGGAGAAATGCAAAACAAGGGCCTCAATGGTGCAGTGGGTAACACGTGAGCCCTCGCAAACGGTAATCGCGGGTTTGAATCTGGCCTGGGGTCCGGGTTTTGCAAATATCTCAGCATCGTCGTGGTTGTATTTTATATGATAAATCTGTATGAATACGAATATTAATGTAAGTATGATCGACTTTAAAGTTTGCTGGTCTTTACTTCCTCATTTCCACAATTTATCAATTCCATTGTTTTTTTTTTCCTTTCAGGGAATCTGTTGCTGAAAAATCTCTTATGAGGTGTTACCAAGGACTGGAAGAATCGGAAGATGAAAGGTTTTCTATTGAGGATTCAGATGAAGCGATTCAAAGTGACGACAGTTTCGACGAACCAGTAACATTTAACTAGTATGCAACAAATATTTTCGTAGTTCTGAGACAGATCTCATACAGCTTCCACTCATATATTTCTTCTGAATGACACACCTAAGTGTTTTTTTTCCTTTAGCAGAGTTAGGCCTTTGCTAGTATTCCTTCTCTTATTCCGATCTCCGTACTCTCTTTGACCATTAAGCCTAAGTTCGCAAAGGAGTCACTTATCTTAATAGGTATCCGAGCGCCTTGCTTTAATATTTTGAATAAATTTTTTGTGTGCCTTAGAATCCCTGTTATGCATCAGTACTCACTGTTTTCGGAAATTTTAACATCTGGACCTCTTCCTAGTCCTTTTCGAGTGCTGCTAGGTCTTCTCGAGCTTCACTGAAATCTCCCTCTTCCATACCATCTCCAACGTACCTAGGAGTCTTCAATTTACGAAACGACAGAAGAAATTGGAAATTTCCTTTCAGCAGTTCGCCTACCAGTGTATAAATGCCCTTTTTGCATACATAAGGTCCAATTTACGGTCAAGTCGAGCCCAAGTCTCGGCGATGGCGGTAGTGTTCGAGAGCATACACACGGATCGTTGCAATTTTGCAAGGTCTGCACCCGGAACGACTGACGGTGGCTGATAGTTGATGCCTACCTGCAACTAGTTCCCATTTATTATTAGAATTCAAAGCACGCAGCAATTATTGAACAACATAAACCTGTCAGTAGATCTTAACCTTTTTTATTTACTGCCTATTCTTTTTCTTCGCAATATGCCATGCCATTAGAAAGAATAGGCAGTAATTAAAAAAGGGTAAGATTGTGATTATAACTACAGTCTCAGCCTAACTGGGTTCAATGCCGATTTGGCCTCTCCAGATCAATCCCGTTGACGGGTGATTGCTGATGGAAAAAGATCGATAGGACTAGCTGAGAGACAGGCGAAACGAAGGGCTCGCATGGTGTGGTGGTGAACGCGTTACTCCCCGAAAAGGACAGTAGCGCGTTCGTTCCCTGCCGCAGACACCTGCGGTCCGGAGTTTGCAAATATCTCTGTCAATAGAGTCGAAAAGGCAAACCACAGTAAGTAAGATATTGCACGCGAGCGAGTACAGCAAGATCACTACAAGCGACCGGGGTGAATTTTAGAAGGAAGGTTTTGCTTCTATTGAATAGTTCCGTAGTAGTAGACAACCTTGAAGCCAGTAGGCGACCAGTCAACGAACTGTATTGTCCGCTTGGTTTTTACGGATGCAATAGCTGAATTCACATTTTTTGGAATAACGTCACCTCGGAACAACAAGCAGCAAGCCTGAAGCGAAGTTTTCTCGATGTTATCTCATTTCAGTTTTTCGTTATTAACGATTCAAATCCCGAAGTATAATTAACGGACCCTCGTTTTCCATTCCAGATATCTTTATGTATCTGAGACATTAGCAAGAAAGAAATCGAACGACACTTGAGATAATGAAAAACACTCTTGCTATCTATGATACATTGATTAGAATTCTATTTTACGCAGAGTACTGATTGATGGAGGCGTCCTGCGATACACGCTTGGGATTGATCCCCGCGCTCGTGGTTCACCAAGACTCCCATCCCTCCGGGGTCGGCAGATTGGTACCAGGCTTGTCTGGGAAGATAGCAGCACTTGCTCGATACATCGGTAGGCCACCGCGAGTCATTATAAAGGCCAGATGTGCATTCGATCACCGACGATGCTTAATGAAATCGAATGCATGGCGCACTTCTCAGGGATTTATCAATGCCGAGAGCTTTTCTTCTACTGATACAACATTGAACTTATACGGTATGGTGCTGAACTCCTTGAAAAAACCTACTTTTAGCAAAGAAGAACTAAAGTTGACCACTCTGTGACGTTTGTTGCTCACCATGTATTTCCCACGTCGAGGGTCACATTTTACCATCTGCAATCCTGGTTCGAAGCATTGTTTCGTAATGTCGCCCACCTTAAAAAATCAATAAAAAAATGGCAATAATGGCAGTTACAATAAAAATAATTATAGAATAATGATAACAACGCGCTTAAGTAGTGCTTTAGTGGCATTGCGTTGTTCGCCATGAAATGGCTTAGCTGGGTCTTTCTCGAAAAACTACTCTGTTAACGACATTTATACCACATAAGGGTCCAAAAAGTAAGAACCATAGAAAACCGTGCAATGTTTGAGCAGCTCTCTGACTAATCAATAAACGAGTAATAGGTACATATCATGGGATAAAAGTTGCTGAATGTAGGGTTAGTTGCGCTGTCAATGCACAGATGAGGTAAAGAGGCATGCTTCTACTTTTTTACGCTATTCTCGAATGAACTGACCGTCATCTCTGTTCGTGATACACCTTTTCGGCCGAGATGATCGGAGCGTAGGTGGTGAGCGGGAAATGGATTCGTGGATAAGGTACGAGGTTTGTCTGTAGTTGAGGAACATCTCTTCCTGAGTGCAGCGGCAAACGAAGCAACTGCAAAATGCCACGTCGCTTTTCCTTGGCTTATTGAAAGAAAATAGCTGGACCTACTCGCTACGATAATCAGTTACACCACTTAGGGAAATATCTGTTTCCTGAAGACCTCACTACGTCGTTAGAACAAGAGAATGACTCAATGTGGATTTTCACCTGGAATTCGGTTAAGTCGACATTGAGGGCACCGTCGAAACGAAGCGATGCGGTCGCAGAACTGATTACCTGAACATTTGCTCTCTATGCTCTGGAATTCAAATCATTAAACACACACACAGGTCAATTTCAGGAGATGTGACAGAAGAGTCACGGTCTGTACCACAACGTCGATGCTGTTTCCTATGTTACTGACTAGACTATAATCGACAATACAGTTATCCATACACCATGTAGTACTCTCTAATTGGCATCACGAATAGTTCTGTTTTGAAACCGTCTGGTGGAGACGGGGATTGTATAGTGAAGTACAAAGGAAGACCTAAATGGAAGAACTATAGAGAACATTCTTCACGAATATTGGAATGTTCTCTATGTAAATCAATTATAACTTTTCCAAACATTTCAAATGCTTCTCCCATGACCTTTTCTCCACTACGATCTCATAACACTTCCAAACATTTCAAATGCTTCTCCCATGACCTTTCCTCTATGACGATCTGATAGCCGTATGTCTAACATTTCGCTGGCGTCTATCTCGTAAAATATCTGCACTTACGGTCCTAGGCTTTGAATATCGCCCTATCAGATCGCAAGGCTTGTGAAATGCTTCCAACACCCGTCTTTTTGCCTACTGTAGCCCAACTCCGCCTACTGTAATCTGACTCCACCCAGCGCAAAGGTATATAAACGGGTCCACGGTTAGCTAGCTCATGTCACAGCAATGCTGCCCAAGTCACCGCATTCGTGCGTCACATCCATCTCATGTAGTAAAAGTGTTATGCCAATATCTTCACTCACAAGCAACCTGAACACCAGTGATCAGGCTGCGTCTATTCATTACCCGTATCATCGTTGCATTAATTTATACTGTTGTACTGTTATGCCAATCTCTTCACTCATAAGCAACCTGAACACCAGTGAT